CCACCACTTCACTGTGCTCTCATCTACTGTTTGGTCTGCATAAATGTTCAGCAAGTGTCAATGAATGTCAATGGGTGGAATCTTTTTCTGCATCAAGGAATTCAGTGCCACATCTCTGCTTCATACGTGCTTCCATGACAGCCACCATTGCGTCAGACTGCCTTCTCTGCTGCCATCTGCCACACAGCAACAACGTGTCATGGAATATTGGTGAGAAGGTTTAACCTCTATTGTCATACCACCAACATCCAAGTCTGACATCATAAGCCAACATAAGAAAACATGTTTTAGTACCATCTTCTATTCAGCACTTTCATAGATCCACAAAGAATATCACAAATTCCAAGATGCAATCTTTGCTCCTCACTTCAACTGTCAAATTGTAACGTGTCTTTAGTACAGGTTTTGGATTACCTCAGTTCTCTTGACAAACACTGTCTTTCTACAGACTATCCTAGAATCATTTACAACACTTTGGCAAAGTCTTTCATTCATTAGCTGAGATTCACACTTTCTCCTTATCTATACTGTACGTTTGTGGGTTAATCCTTAATACCATTTTAGCTAGGCCATCTTATGATATTCCCCATGCAAATGGCAGAAGGCTGCCGATCTCCCCTTATATGCCATTGTTGATAGCAGCCTCTCTTACACAGTATTTGCTTTTTCAAGCATTTCTAATTGAGTTCAGGAAAATAAATTTGGCTGCGTACTTTATATAAGAATTGTATTTGTAACTGTACACATAACATTAGCAAGTGCAGTATAGCATTAGCATAAAACAGTATGTGTTCACAAGCCTGACACACCGTCTTTACTATTATTTAACCCTTGACAGTAAATAAATCAAGGGCTTTTTCCAGAAAGCAAACTTAAAGTACAGTAAGAAAATCTGTGCTCAAGTCTTGGGAGATTCTGTGCTTTTGATACTGAAGTAAATCTTGCTCAGAACACAATAACAATTTCTGTAATAATATAAATCAGCATATTTGAAAATGACGATACAATTTTAATCTGAATAGAACTATTAGAATACAGGGTGGAAACTATTCTTAGACACTATGCATGGGAATAAACCTGCCTAATTATTCAATTTACATCAGCAACTATTCTTTTTGTACCTATTTTTTTCTGTTATGAATTGCCAAAAAGAGTCTAAATGCCAACAGTACATATCATGACTCTAGAAGTCCTAACTTAGTCTATGATTATGAGCACAGGCACACTGCTACTCACTTTGCTAGAGCTATGTACAACTTGTCAAAGTTCAAGAATTTACAGTAAACTTGATAATTGAAGTATGAAATCTTTTAGATATAATTCTGTCCATATATAGCTTAACTGGACAGGTTTCTTTTTCTGTCAACTTAGCCCTCATAGAACATGGATGCTTAGCAGTATAAAACTACATGCTGACATATATACTCTGAATATTAAAAAATTATTCAAATAAAACTAAAAAGTCAACAGTAGTCTCCCACTCAGTCTCCCATTGAATTTGAAACCAACATTCACAATAGTTTTACTAGATGTTGTATTTATAGTCCCTTTTTTCCTCCTTAAAAACATGAATATGAATAAATACCATAACAATATTATAACTATAAAATGGTCTTACATATGCTTTAGATGCCTTCTCACTTCCACTAAACCAAAACTTACAGATTAATCAACATTTTTTTAGGAACTGGGGCTTTTATAACTGTTATAAATGTTCTTTACCCAATAATGAACTGAATGAGAAAAAGAGACAGAAAGAAATGATAATTGCATGTTTTATTAACTTCTCTTAGATGTGCATTTCTCTACACACTGAATATAAGACCTTATGGTATATTAACATTAATGCATTTCCAATGGGTGTGAAGGATTAGTCACTGTTTATATAGTACTTGTTGCAGCACTTGATCAGCGCTCTGTTACTGTTTAACTGCTCAGATTAATTATTCTAGAGGTGAGTAGGCATTTGAGTGTGTTTAGCACCTAAGGACTACTCTGCAAGAAAACCTTGTAAGACTTTCAGAAAGACAGTGTTTCTAAACACTGAAAGAAGGTTTACAAGCAAATGCCTTATTTGCAAAATATTCAAAACCCTTTTGAGCACCTTCAGTACTAAAACACATATTATAAAAACCAAGCCCATTTAATAGTTAAAAAAATAAAATGAAAAGGAGGCTAAGGATACAGGGTTCGGGCAATAATCATCATTGTCCATGTATTATGATTCTTGCGGTAAAAAGCAACAACTGACAGGCTCAAAAAAGTATACAGATGCAACTTTTATTTGGATTCTTTATTGAGAGGCAACTTTAAATCTATATTGATAACATAAGTGGTAATCTAGTATTACTTCACTTACCTTATAAAAACAGCTCTGCTCATTTCAACATTTTTGTATTAAACATGTGAGATTTATTGCATATTATTGGATTATAAAGATTACTTTTTTTTTTTTCTGTTCCTTCAAGTATTGGTTTGGTGAATGCCAACATTGATCTCTTAGCATATATTACCTACATATTCACAAACCCATATGATGGCAGCGCTTACAGAATAGGTCATGTTCAGTTAAGCTTTTATACTTCGTTAATACATCAGTGTAATTCACTGGTAAATGGCTTAAAAGCAACTAGTATAGAAACACATTCACACCATTCAAAAAACCTCCAAATACTCACCAAAAGACTGAATACAGGTTTCAAGAAGGTCTTCCAAAGTCGCCCCTTTGGCTAAGTGCCCCAGAGGCACCATAGTGACTTGGGTAAGATTTGAATGGCTGTGACAGTGAGTGATCTGCTTCAGCTCAAGTGAGGATTCAGGGGCAGTGCTGCATCCCTGGGCAGGTTGCCTAGAAGAAAGCACAATAGTGAAGTAAGTACAAGGGTGAGTGACAAATTTTAAAGGACATGAAAGAGAAGGAGAGATTTAAAGGGCAATGAACTCCCTGTAGCTAGGTTAGTGAAAGACACAGCCCTCCCACTTGTAAGTGTACTTAAGAGTCTGCATGGTAAATGACATTTTTTTCCTGCTAAACACAGGTAGTAGAGCACAGTTACAGCACTCCGCGAATGATCTGTCAGATTGCCGCAAATCTTATTTCTCCGCGTGTTACATTTCCAATACTATATAAGCTACAAAACAGGAACATTGTTACGCAGTAATCTGCCACCACATGTTTGTGTGATCATAAAAATAAAGGAGAAAAAAAAAATAGCTTAATCTAACATTATTGGAAACACATTGTAACAAGACAGACCAGCTGCATTAATAGTGATTTTCCAAATGAAGTACCCAAATTATTAGTGCAACTTCACAGTGGAGCATTTCACAATTTAAAAAGAAAAAATAAAAATAAAAAAGGGAAAAAAAAAAAAGCTGGTGAGTTTTTATCCATTCTATATTATTAATTCCTACTAAATTGTTTTAAAAGTGCCTGCATGAGTGAATTACTAGTTTTATAAATAAACACATCTTTAAGAGATAAAAATGAAGAATGAACCTTGGCTTCGGCCAGTACTTTGCTCCTATTGCAATGCCTTAAGAGCATAAGAATGTACATTTACAGATAATATTAAGTGTTCATTGTTTGCATGCAAGCTCATCATTCTGTATGAAATATTAAAGAAGCACAGTGTTCTGATACATGTTCACGTGCAAATAACAGGAACTGATTCAAAATCTGACTTGAGAGCATGACGCTTGTCATTTGCAAAATGGCAACAGCCACTGTTGTTTCAGTGAAACTTTGGGTTCTTTTCAGAATCAATGTGCAGTCCACCATATTCCTAAGTAAGTTACTGCAGCTTCTTCATGTTGCTATCTTAAGCCTTCATATGACTTTCCTCAGACAGAACACTGCTGAAAACTTTATTAATAAACAGACAGCCCCAAGAAGAAAAGGCACAGAAATGTATCCAGTGTGCATAAGACAGACAGGCAGAGGTGGCGAGGATATCCTGTACTCCTGGATCAGTTTGGAAATAAAGATGCCTAATGAAGACAGATCAGACCCACCTAATCTCAGTGAGTTTCAGGCCTTAGCTTAAAATTTCTGACTCACTTTTCACGCTGGAAAAGTCATGAAACTGTAGATGAGGTAATTTGATGGCCCACACGGCCAGCAGAACCCAGACCTGACTGCAGAGGTAGGGGCCATCACTTAACTTTCCTGAAGCGAATCTGACACTGGCTATGCAAAGAATGTTCTGTTCCCTTCCCCTTTTCTCTAGATTTCCCCGTCACTGTGCGATCTGACTTCCTGTTCTCATATAAAAAAAGAGCAAGGCCTGCTTAGCTTTCAGGGTTCTCTTTTTGCAAGCTTAACCCTCACCCCTCCACACTTTATTCCAGCGGCTCTTTGGTGCAGGGCACGCTCAGAGTTGCAGCAGCAGATATGTTAGGTCTTGACAACAGTGTCAATACCGAGCAGTGAGCAGAAGGAAAACCATCCACGTCCTCCTCCAATAAGTTTACAACAATAACACCGTGGCCGACTTGGCAACGCTCCGCGGGTGACACATCCGAAACCGATCGCCACGTTAATTAGCGCGGATCCCCGCACAGCGGCTTTTCGGCGCGGAGAAGGCACTCGAAAAGCACGCCGGGCTCCACGGTACGCCGCTGGGACCGGGACGGAGCCGCCCGCAGCGCTGACAGCGGGACGACCCGCAGCCTCTAATCCCGTCGGCGGCACTGCTCAGGTAGCGGGGCCGCCTCTCCGGCTGCGCCGCACGCTCCGGTCGCGCCTTCAGGTTGCTCTCCGCACACGCGCCGCCCGCGCCCGCTCGGATGGGCGAGCCGCTGTCCCGTCCCGCCGCTTTGCCCTCTCTCCCAGCCCCACGGAGCCCCGCGCCCCTCTCGCCGCCTCGGCCCCCGCGCTGCCGACTCACTGAGTTTCTCTCTTCTTGCCCAAGGTTCCCATGCCGGCGCAAGTTTCGGCTCCGCGCGGCCGCAGGGAGCCGGACTGCTCGGGGCGGAGGGGACAGCGGGGAGGCCCCGCGCATCGCCCCCGTCCCGCTTCAGGAGAAGCCTTAGAGCGGCTCGAGCGGAGCAGCCGCCGCCCGTGACAAGCGCAGCGGAGATCTTATCGGCAGGAGGAAGTGCCGAGCTATCGCGCTGCTTTTCTCCGAACCGTCGGCTTTACCAGGTACCCCGAGGCGCTCCGCTGCTCGCGTGCGGCGCGGGCTCTCACCCGGGGCAGCCCAGGGGGCCGGACCTGCGGGTCACGCGTGCCTCGCCGCTCCCCACCCGCGTGGGGCTGCTGCCGGCACGCTGCGGGCGGTGAGGGCCCGCACGCGCCCCGCTCCTGCGCGCGCTGATTGGCTGTTCGGCGGCGGCGGCGGCGGAGGGCTGGGAAAGGGCCCTGGCGGCACGGACTCGCGTGGAAAACCCGGCGGGCGCCCGCGGGAGGCAGTTGCGAGGGAGGCGGCTGTGGTCTGGCCCCGGCCCGGTTCTGCCGGCGGTACGGCACGGGCGGCTGGGACAGAGGTGTGCGCTGCCGCAGGGCGGGCGCCGAGCTGAGATTCTTACATCGACAGTTACCGGTTTAAAGCACTTGCGCTCAGCTGCCACCTCTTACCGTCCTTCCAGCCTAACTGCTAGATTTCCTAAGCGCTTGCACTATTAATTGTCCCATTTCAGCCGTTTGTTCGTCTCACTTCAGAGAAGAAATGACCCGACAATAAAGCTGAAAGTCAAACTCAAAGGTGCTGTACTGAGAAACACGAGTACCTGAGCAGGAAAGTCAAAGGGCACCCAGGCTTTGTTGTTCTGAGAGCTCTGTTTGCATGTGGAAGTTACTTCAGCATCAAAATGCTATCATACCTCATGCTGAGATGAGGGTGGTTCTCATAAACTGTTTCTTTAGCTGGTAAGATTCAGATATTCTGAGTAATTCCTTGCCAGCAATCAGGACACATTTCTCTCCAGGTGTCCAAAATGACCAAATTCACCAAGGCCACAGCTTGCTGCCATTTCCTGAGGTTCATGGTGACTCTGGCTGTCACCACAGCTGTGTAAACCTGACTACAGACCTGCGAGTGGAAGGAAAACCCGGCATGCCTCTGGAAATCACCCCTGTGATTCACTGGGTGTCATTCCTCTGAGTAAGCATTGAGCTCATGTCCAGCTTGAAGATCACTGTGCTTTATGAAATACAAATACGTAATGTACATCCAAGACCACGAGTCATGTCTGCGATGTTCTCTGCAGCATCTATGTTGGTAAGCCAATATCCCTGCCTGCTTCTACTTTAGACAGGTATATCCCAGCTTTCTTTGCTTTTCTTTAATTGTAGTTCCCTTGAGTTCATGCACATGCATACACTCATAGACAAATGAGTACTCTCCAGCTTTTTTATCAGGAGTTAATCCATAAGGAATCTTACACAGCCTTATACAAAAATACATTTGCAATTTACCTGTACAACATCCTGATGTGCTGATCCATGAATGTAATATTCTCCAGGCGACATGCCCTCCTGTTGTGAAGTAGGTTAATACCTGGTCTGTGTCCAAACCAGGCTTGCTCTACTGAAGAGCAAGATAATTTTCTTTTTCTTCTCAGATCTGAAGTAGGCAACTACTTTACATTTAACTTGTGGTGTCATGCATGCATTCTTCCAGTAGCTTTCGCCTAGGCCCATTTTACTTATATCTCTGTGAAATCCCAGGTCGATTACAAAGGTACTCAAGTGTCCTGCTGGAATGGCGAGTGAGAAAGTTCCCTGGTGGTAACAGAGGGCCCTACAGGATGGTGGGGTCAGCAGACGTTGTTAGGAAGGCAAGCCAGATAATCCAGTGTGGGAAGCAGCTCCAGAGGAGAAAAGATTGCTAATACAACTGGAATGAAGGACAGCATATAGGAAGTATGAAAACCCTCTGCTGGATCAACTTACATTATGAAAACAAGTAGTAATCAAAATAATTGGGTTTAGTAAGTTCTCTTCAGTTAGAGCTGCTAGCAATTCTATGTGGAAAAAAAATAATAATTAAAAGGTGATAAACCAAAAGTGGGGCTATCATGTGTGATCAGCTTTTACAAATAGCCTCCCTACTGACAACATCATGTAAATGTGCTTCCCTATTATAACTGAAGTTTGTAGCTGTTAAAATGCCTCTTCTTAGCATGAAATTTTACCCGTGTTGCAGCTAGTAGAGCACTTCTAGTGTCTCGTTCCAAGCCTGGTTCAGGATATTAATCAGGGTTATCTAGAATTTTGATTGTTTTCACTACCTTACCAAAAGTTTCTATTCTTAGAAAGCTTCAATGTTAGTGAAGAATTTGATCTGATAACCCTACTGAGGTTATCAGACAATGGCAATTCCCTCTGCTGTTTTCCTCCTCCTGCAGCTTTGCCACAGGGGCCAGAGACGAAGTGTTGCCCTTTCTAAAGAAACATGATTGATAGCAGAGTTAGTATTTGTGACTTTACACTTGTGTCATGATAGGAGTATCTTCCTTCAGCAGTGCATGTTCTGGGACAACTCTCTGGACAACTATAGCTTTTTAAACAAAAGGGTGTGGCAGTAAAATTCATCCTTATGACTGCAGAATGAGACTCGAAAATATGAAACTGAAGCATTCAGAGAGTACATAGCAAATTAAGAGGGGTAAGAACTGACTGTTTTTAACACATGTTTTTTAAGTCATGTTGAGAAAGACTGCACTAATCTTGAGTGCTTTGCGTTGCCAATAATGTGACTGTGAGACTCCAGCTTTTTTGTTAGAACAGAAAATATGGAGAGCACCCAGTAGCATCTGGCTCCTTAAGTATAGAACCACAGGTTTCAATACATTATATGTTAAACAACTTTAAAAGTTAGTAGCTATGCTACTAATAAGTATAGCTATCTAATCTATATCGATACTGAGGTTTCTGAGGCTGTAAAGGCTGCTTCTGTTAAACACTTCAATGGCCAGTTGTCAATATTGAGCCCACTGAGGAATTCACTTACAGAAAGTCAGTGCAAATCAACTGACTCTTCTTGCATCTTGGGAGACCTTGAGCATATATAGGTCATCTTACTTTTAGAATTAAGGCTGTAAGGCAAACTAAATACAACTGTTTCTCTTTTATCTGTATGCCTTTAAACACAGTGAGTGGGGAGGGATGTATCAGTGAAAAAATGTGGAAATTTATATAAAGCACTGTTATACAATCATCCAATGCTTAATGGTGTCTATTTTGTTACAGGTATTTGCCAGTCATGAATTCCCCACCACCCTCAGTGAACAATTAGGCTGATGATTACAGCTGCTGTGAGTCATTTTGTCAGTTTGAATGCTAAAGGTCTGTGGGATGGACTGAATGATTCCAGTCCTACTAATGATCCATGTGGGTGTGAACATGCCACATGATGGAACGTCTGTGGTTTTGAGTCTTGGAAATTACAGAGAAGGCATAGTTTGTAGGTAAAAACAATATCTTCTATTAGACCAACTGGCAGTCAGAAAAAGCATGACTTGAAGAGGGTTTTTGCAAAGGACCACAGAAGCAAAAAAAAGAATAGGTTTGGAAGGGACCTCAGGTAGTATTTAGTCCAGCCTCCTGCTCAAAGCATGGCCAGCTGTGGGACCAGATCAGGCTGCTGAGTGCTTTATCCAGGTTACTCTTGAAAGCCTTGAAGTCCCTTGGAGAGCTGTGTAATCCAAAATTAGGAGATGGATTTGTCTCAGTGTGTGTATGGATGTTGATACTGCCTGAGCCTATAGAGCAAGATGCAATTCCCTTCACAAGCACTCCTGCTTCATTCAGATCCCAGTATGGATATGTATGTGGTAGGCAGGGGCACATAAAGAGGCACACTGGTGAAGGATATTTTCAGCAGCTTTTATTCCAGAAGTTAGATGGCATGTAATCATTAAGGAAGAAGGACTGTAGAAGTAAAGATTTGGTCTGGTGGATGAGATAGGTCTCAATTATCATTATTTATTTGTGCAGAAAATTTTCAAGCTACTGATGGACAAGTCTTGAACTTTCAACTGCAACTAACTAAAAGATAACTAAAGGGTTGAAACTGTTAGATATTTCTGGTTTTCATCTAGAAGACTTCAAAAGAATGGAGTAAAATTACTTGTTTAAGTAAGACCAGCTTGATAATATAGCAAAACATCAGGTCTAGTAAGCTAGGAAGTGCTATTAACTGGTAGAATTCTTCTGAATAGGACCACACTTGGTTTTGTGTGGCTTTGAGGCTCTGTCCTGAAAGTAACATCTTGGCCTTTCTATTGAGTAAACACTTCAATGTTTTCCTATTTAAAAGAATGCAATCAGCAAGCATTGATTGTCTGCCTACAAGTACAACTAAACTACCTTGCATCAATGTCCGGCCATTTCAGCAGTAGCCAACATCTTTGAGATATTATGATACAGTAACATTCAGTGAAACGTAATGATTTTACTAACTGAAATCTGTGTTCTGTACTGCTGAAACCAGAAATACACTTAATTCTGCCATACAAAGCCTGTTTGTACTGTGAGTCCAGGAGCAGTGTTTTCCTAATGTCTATTCCCTTACAGAAGTCCATAACAAAATTATTTTCCTTTACAGTCTTTCAGAATTAATGTATTTTATTAGTTTTGATTTAGGTCACCAGGACGCTCAGATGTAAATAAATTTATGAGTTGATTTTGATAAGAATTGCACAAAAACAAATCTCCTTCCCCATACCTCATATGCCCCTCACAAAACATGGTGCAGTGTCTTTTTTTTTTCCTTAAAATGTGTGTGAAATATGGATAAATGAGGTGAAAAACATCCGACACCTTTGAACAAACTACTATCCAGAAGTGGTGAGACTCAAAGCACAGAAAGGAAAAGTATAACAATACTACTAAGAATGCCTCTTTTAGTTCACCATCTGCTTAAAAGAACAAAACAGCTGCTTGAACAGGATGTAGATAACATCATCCCCTATGTCCCTTTGTAAACATTTTCCAAGGAGACAGTGATTAGCTACTTCCTTTACAGGATATCTCTTGGTCAGCACTAAGAAGAGAGACACAGTTTATTAGAAATATAGAAGTGAATTGTTTTAACCTTTTTAAAGTACTTTCACAGATAAATTGTTGTGGCTCAGACAGTACCTTTGAAAGCGTGACAGGATGAAAGTTGGGCTCAGTGAAATGTGGGTTCTTTGGTGTTTTGGCGGTGTGGTTTAATGTAATACTGTTTTTCAAATACCAACTCAAATTGCAGTGATCCTTTGAATAGGAAAGAAATGTAGATACATGATTTCCATCAGACTGAGCTGATTCAAAAGTTTCAAACGCAATGCACAAAATCTGATTTTGCTTTTGTGGAGCTGAAGGCCAGTATTAATGATTTTGCCCTCACTATTTGCCGTGGTAGGGATTGTGTGAAGAAGGAAGAGTGACAGATAAGGAGAAAGAAGTAATCACAGAGGTTTCACAGGATGTGGATGTTTTATGAATGGTATTTCTCTGCCCTTTGCTGCCTTTCTGATCTTATAAGCAGGGCAGAAAACATTTCCAAGGGGATTTTGCCCTGAAGTACAAGCTAGTGCTAATTTGAACTGAACACTGATTGAGTGATGAATGTAGGTGGACATAATGCAGTGTGTCAGTAAATTCCAGATTCCTCCAGACCATCTTTCCTTTTGTATTGCCTTAGGGGAAATGCTCTTTTCCCTTCCAACCTGGTTTTGCTTACTTCTCCCTCTTCTCCTCTTGGTCTGTTCAGTATGAAACAACTGAGGAAGAGTGGAAGCAAGAGAGCAGGAGAGAAAAAGCATCTTCTCGCAAACACACCCCAGCGCACTGTGGAGCTCTTGGTGCTGGGGATCAGCGGAACAGGGTTGTGAATAAAGGCAGAGTGGCTAAAGTTAATACCAGTGGTTGCCAAGGGCTTTCTGTCATCTGTTGTTATTGATACAAGAATTAATGGAAAGTTGGCCATTATAAAGAGAAGAGAAGAGAAGAGAAGAGAAGAGAAGAGAAGAGAAGAGAAGAGAAGAGAAGAGAAGAGAAGAGAAGAGAAGAGAAGAGAAGAGAAGAGAAGAGAAGAGAAGAGAAGAGAAGAGAAGAGAAGAGAAGAG